CTGGACGATAGGTTTGGACACCAGAAGGTTCAGTTTGTTATCAACTGAGGGGGAAAAAGAAGAAAAACTCAGCAAGTGACAGATTTTCGGTACGAAAGGCACCTCGACCAGCATAAACAAAGACTAAGATAACAACGCTACAAAACCCTCATATAAATATATATATATTAAATATGCAGGTATATATACATATATGTATACCATACAAAATGGTCAACGGATACAAACACAGATGCATACGACAAGATGGCAGGCAAAGGTGTAAAAACTACAAACTGCAAAGCTGTATATTGTTGCTGCTGCTGTACATTCATGTACTTCATCTTCCCCTGCATAAATGTATTTATGTTTAAAAAAAACTATTTATATGTTTATAAAAAAAGAGATATTTATAAATATGAGTTTTATTTATGTAACATTTTGAAAATGGACGCAAACTGCAGGTCAATTCTGTTTGTAACTTTTTCTTTTGTCTCAAATAGTTGTAAATGTTTTCAAAAATGATAAAAAGAACATTCCATGTGCACTTACATGTATCCTCTCGGGGTTTTATGTTTCAATGAAACTGGTAAATTTTAGTTACTGAACATTTTCTGCATGGCTTCCAGGTGGAAAAAAAAAGTATTCTGAAGAGCTTGTTGGATGCTATGAAAAAAGCTACATTGTTTTCAGCCTGACCACCATTCATTTCTATGCAGTTCAGATTTTGAAAAGATTTCCACAGGGAGTGTAACACAAGTTTTCACACCACTAGGGGCATGTGTACCAGTAAAATCTCCAAACAGAGGAATGGCATCTATCAAGCCACTTTGAAAATAAATCACTTACTGAGGTATTCACAGATGATTAATACAGAGAAAACATTTTGTAGACACACTGTGACCTGGAGTGAAACTGAGATCAACAGTATAATAAAGCTTAATTTCCAAATCACCAATCATCTAATAGTAAGGAAGTCAGTGGGTCTCAAAAGCAGACAGGTTCATGAAGCTCTTTTGACCCAGAAGAAGAAGCAGAAGAGAGGAAGAGATTCTCTAGGCACTAGCACCTATTTGTAGTGACCTTTAGCAGCTTTAAGTGTTATGATAATGGTCTGGTATGGTACGGTATGATACGTCATTATTAATATGGCAATTATCTAAAAGCAGAGTTTCCAAAATGAAAGGGATAAAGTGAAACATCGTAATCATAATTAGTTTTGTCCTTCATGTTGAAGAACACATAGGAAAATGTTCATAATATTACAGCAGTTTTATTCATACGATTTTATTCATGAAAATGCAATTGATTATGATGAATATGACTCATTGATTCAAAGGTCACTGACAAACAAGACAGGGTGAGAAAACCCATTTTATTTTATTGTGGGAGGCTCAAATTCACTGTGATACAAACTTCGACTCATACACATACAAGCACATGATGTGGTCTTAATGGAAAAGTACAAAGATAACACTGTACTTGCTCAGTACACTGACTGTGACAATAGCAGCTAAGTGCCACATTTACACTGAAAAATACAAAGGCAACACACACACATACACACATACACCTCATATAGTTGGTGGCCCAACTGAACACTGATCACAAAAACCTGAGAAAAGAAAGGAAGTAATGTGGGCAATCATGATAACACCTGTCAAACATGGATAAAAGCTTCTCACAAGCTGAAGCCCACCAAAAGAGAAGGGCATACGCTGAACAGGATAGTTGCTAAAATGTACCCCGCAGAACTAAAGCAGCACCAGTGCTCCGTGTTGTGAGCTTCGTTAAGCTGATCTCTGTTATATTCATTCAAAGTTTGCATCAAAGGCCAGCGTCAAAGATAAATTACCTTGAGAGAGAGAACAACTGTAGACCCTCATAGGAGCTATGGAGTCTGACAACTGCTCTGAATGGTTGCATAACAAGAGGGTAATATGGGTAATATTTTATGGGACTGGTTTCTCCCTATGGCTCACACACCGTACCCCCCACCCCACCCCCACCCCCTACCTCCACAATAAAACCTCCTTGCTGAGGTTTTTATGACCCTTCTTGCAATGCTGGAGTATCTCTAGCCATATATTTTTATTTCAATATCACAATTCACTTTTAAAAACAAACTTCTTCATTTTTGTATATGATTATCTTTCTATTATTGCATTTTTTAAAAACCCTATAGATTATTCTGAATCATGTTTTTGAAGTATTTCTGGCTGAATTGTTTTATAAAATGTGCCTTATATACAAATTTGAGGCTGTTGGTTTATTATGTCTGAAGCCTAACAATAAGTTCATGAGCAGAGTGAGAAGATATTCTTTAAAACTCAGAGAACTGCAGATATTCCTTGTTGAAAAAAAATGTCCCAGGAGGAAAGAGAGTGAAAGTGTTCTAAAGACAATGGGTAGAACTAATCCTTGTGCTTACTTTTCGATGTTTATATGTTTCTGTTATTTTTGTCCACCCCATGTGATACTTTGATTATGCAATGCTGCTGTTCCTTTTTGATTTTCAAGCGCTTTTCCAGTCAATAAACATATAACAGATAAGCGTTTTTAGTAATTATCTCCATTAGCAAGGTTGCAGACACTGTCAAAAATTATTGACATTTAAAGAAATATTACCAAGGATTTACCTCTGTGTGTTTAAATATTACTATGGACCATTTTGGGTGGTTGCCTAGAAATAAATGTGCATTTTCATGTGATAAAGGAAATCCCTTCTGAACTAAAATCCCTCAATGCATTAATTCCCCTCTATATGCTCTCTATTCATTGGATTCACTCAATTTAACCCTAAAAACAGAAGAGAATAGCAGGTACAGACAGGGTGGATAGAAGGGGGTTTAAGGAGAAGAATTGCTTTGTTCATCTTGCAAATTCAACATAGTTCATTTGAAAAACAGCAAGAAAATAGTAATTAAATGCATGAAGGCAACAGCACTAAAAAAAGGACTGATGTTGTATCACATAGCCAGGAGGAATACAGCACACAAAGAGGCATTCATTTTCATATCAAATAAACACTGAAATGTTAGGGAATTTGAATTCTGAAACACATTGCTCATGTCGACTATGTGGTTCAAATCACGTTTGTCAAACTCGCCACTACTGCTTGCTGCATCAGCAATCTAACATCAGTTTGTTTTATTTCTCTTTGAAAAATATCATGCCATGTGTGTGTGTGTCATTGCGTAAAAAAAAGGTTCAATCCACAACTCATTGTAAATAGTTATTTAATAATTTGCACTTAAACAACAAATGACAAGAAAATTGAGTAGAGATAAAGACAAAAATGTTGTAAAGACTTTGTGAAAGTCTTGTGAAACATGAGGAACACATGTTCTTTCATAGGCCTACATTAGCATGGGATGTAAGCATCTTCGACAGCAGGTTGGGTGGACCTTTTTCACAGCAGACATTTTGACTTGTTAAGGAACACTGATGTAGCTCATGACATTAATGATGGCTCTAATCCATCTTCATGTTCCAGCATGCCACATCAGTGAGCAAGGATGCACAATATCAGGGTGTTGAAAGCCTACATGCTTTATGGTATTAATTGCACCTGTGTTTATCATCCTATTGCAGATCAAAAAATCATTACAAAGGGAAAAAGATGTTATTTTCTCAACATAATTTATTTACTTTACATACTTTACATATGGTTTAATAATAATTATTATTATACACCTTTTCTCTTTCAAGGAAACTCCCATCACATCAGTTGATGACCAGTAATTTCAATTTGTTTACATGGCAGAAAATACTTTATATACAGTATACAACACTTCATTATCATTAACATCCTACATTATGCATTATACAACGTACTTATCTCTCTGTGCGAATCGGGTAATATAGCTATACAATGAAAGCAACAGGGTGATTGAGGTGGAATGGTTTGCTCCACCCTGTGCTTTGTGAAATAAGTGAGGGATGTAAAATGCAATGCTGCCTCTGTGTGGTGTTGAGGGTTAATTACTCAAATGTGCTGTTCAATGTCCCTTGGGAATCAACTGGCTGACTGAAATACTTTATACCTTGTACACACACACACACACACAAAGACAGGCAGATAGATACATAGAAGTTTTCTATGAAGTTGCTTCAAAGGAAGATTGTGTAACAGGATCAAAAGCTCCAGAACAGCTAGGTAGCGATTAAATGGACCTTGTGGTGAGATGTTTTGTCAATTACTGTTTCCAAAATGAATAATGAACTTTCAACATCAACATTTAAGTCAACATACACTAGATGAAAAATTTAAAATGCTCTGAAAAATGTTATCTTTTTTAACTTACTTAACTTTATTTTATCAATGATGGAAGAACATCTTATAACATTATGCTATAGTCAAACTATTCTAGAAAGTACAAGTAGAGATGTGCTATGCAGCAGCAAAATTGGAGTATTGTAGTAAAGCAGAAGCTCAAATTCGTAAAACGCTTAATTAAATTCAAGTTATACCACTATTTCGTGTTCATCCGGGGTAATATACAGCTGGTAGCACATTGCTCCGCGTGGTAGACTACACACGTGGTTGATGGTTGATGGCAACTTGCCCAGACCACGTGGTTGATATAAACAGCTGCATGGGACATAAAGACGGTATAGTGATCATACAATGCACAGTGAGGTCCAAAAGTCGAAAGCGGTCTCAGACTTTTGGACCCCACTGTATATAATTGTAGCATCTATGAAAATGTGTTTTTCTCTAAACATTTAATTCCTACCATGTGGAAACAAATTCAGTGTTTCTTGTTAAATTCATTTAGTTATTACTTTCGGCAGTAAAACATTGCTCTTTGATAATCTATTATTTTATTTATTTCATGTATGCGTTTATACGTGTTAACTATTTGTCGCTTGTTTTTGTACAGTAATAAAAACCCACGTCGCTTGTCTGAGTAGGCGAGGCGCGGGCACGATGCAAATATTCTAACTTGTGATTGGTGGGCAAAGTCATGTGGGCGGGTCGGCGTGGACGCGCAGAGTAGGAGAGTAAGGAGCGCGTCTTCGACTAGTCTGTCTTTCCTGTCCAATGTCCCACCGAGTCGGCAGAGCCACGTGCATGTGTTAGCCATTTCGTTACTTGTCTCCAAACGTCCAATTCATTGTGTTTCTGTGAAACACACGACAGCAACATGGTCAAGTTAGCCAAGGTAAGACAAAATTACGTGTATTTCACCGTGAAAGTGCGTGTGTTTGATAGAAATGAAGCCGTGTGTTTCTGCGTGAGGCCTATACAGAGAAGTTACTGCGTTTGTGGGGAAAAAGGAAACTAACACCGGCAGAAAACATCTCCTCGACTCCCAAAGCTTGTGCTTTCTGCTAATTAATTACACCGTGTCTGTAAGAGTATGCTTGGTCGAAACAGTATGGGGGAAATTGCACTAGTCCTAAACGTTTCTTTGGTCGAGATCAGCCATGTTTGTGCCTTGCTGGTGGTTTTCTGGCCTGCTAACGTTAACCGACTACTCAAGATGGCATTCATGCGCGCTCTCGATTTATAAGCACGGGATTTAGAGATACATAGAGAAGAGATTGAATTAAATTAATTAATACCTACAACTATTTGATAAGTAGGTTAAATAAAATATTTGTGTTATATTAGCTAACACGTCGTTGGTTAACTGTTAGCATTAGCACAGTGGTTAACGGATGCAGAACCGAAGCTTATTCCCTCCGATTCGTTAGCATGATAAGTATAGTTTACGGTGTTTACTTTTTTATCAGGCGTTAAGTTTAAATCGGCGCCGATTGCAATTTTCTCGCAGCCGTCGTGCATTTAAAAGCTCTACAGGAAACGGTAAAATTGCATGCTAGCTTCCCCACCTCCTGTGCTCCACGTGGGTTGTGCGCCTGCTCCGAGAGAGACACGAGGTGAAAAACCAAGAGCAAATTGCCGCCCAGACAGCTTTCACTAAACGCGGTTAGTGTGACCCACCTAAATCAATTGGTAAAATGATTAATTTTAACATTTTTATAGAGGTGGGGTTACTTGTGGTCTTCGCTTTTAAGTACCACATGGTGTAATCCCCACCCCCATACCTCAAATGTTAGCAAACATGCTGAAGCAGCATGCATGGAGTACCATACGTCTGTATTTCATTCAGTAGCAAAACATGCTTTGATAAGTATAATTAATCTTAAACGATTTCTTGTAATTTATCCCGTTTCTTGCAGGCAGCAGCCAAACAAGCAGCGCAAAAGAAGAAGGCTCCCCCACCCCCTAAAGATGTGGAAGAGGAATCCAGTGAAGAGGAAAGCAGTGATGAGGAAGAGGTACAGTATGTTTTGACTTTGATGTAGTTTTCAAGAATTTGTGGGTTTTTCTACACACGTTTTTGTAAGTCATCTTAATAAGTGTTTTATTTATTACAGACTCCTCCACCTAAAGTGGTGAAGAAAGCAGCACCAGCTAAAGCTACCCCAGTCGTCAAAAATGGCACTGCTGCCAAAAAAGCAGAAAGTGAAGATGATGACGACGATGATGATGATTCAGGTAAACAATTAAAATCAACACACCTAAGATATTTTGATATATATAGGAGAAAAAGAATTTGCTCAGGTTTTGATTTTTTTTTTTTTTTTTTTTTACTGGAGTGTGGCTACTTCACTAACAGTGGGGATTTTACATGTCATATGATCTTTAAATTAGTTTCATATCATGAAAGTGAACTGATGGGATTTTTGCTTAGGTTGGACACCTTAATCAGATGAAATGTAGCATTGCATTCATTCATGAAATTCAGCAGCTGGATTTCTAGTGGTGATGGATATATTCTGAGTATTGAAGTGTGTGATTAAGTCTCATGCTTTCACTCCATTTACAGAGGAGGAGTCTGAGGAGGAGGCCCCACCACCAAAGAAGACCCCTGCAAAAGCAAAACCTGCACCAGCCAAGGCAGCGCCTGCAAAGGCTGAGGAGTCTGATGATGATGACGACGACGATGGTAAGACCTGCAACATTGTGATAAAAGAAATTTTGTGTATTTTTTTTTTTTTTTTAAACTGGTTCTTTGTTTCAATAAATACTATTGACCTAGCCTTTGGCCATTATTATATAATTGGCTAAAATAATTTCAATACATGTCAAATATTTGCAACCTATGTGAAAATGACCACATAACCTCCATTTCTTGGCATGCATGTGGTTGTTAAGTACCCATGTGTGTAATGTAAGGAGGAAAAGTGAATGCAGCGCTATGTCTTCGGTGCCGGTGTGTGTTATCGTCTGCCGGTTCTATCCTCAATCGCTGTGACATTCTTGCATTTAATGGCTGTTGGTGGAGTCTAAAGAGGTTTTTCCTCTGCAGAAAAGATGAAATGCTGTCCACTTTTTATTGAAATTGACTATTTAGTGTGTGTCGTCTAGATGAGTCAGAAGAAGAGGCCCCACCACCCAAAAAAGCAGCCAAGCCTGCTGCTAAAGCTGCTGCCAAGCCCTCAGTGAAGGCCCAACCTGCAAAGGAGTCCTCTGAGGATGATGAAGATTCAGAAGAAGAGGCTCCACCTCCCAAGAAGGCTACTCCAGCTAAACCAGCAGCCAAACAAGCTGCAAAGGCCAAGCCTGCTAAGGAGGCATCTGACGACGACGATGATGATGACGACGATGACGATGGTTAGACTGAGCCTTTGATTTATTTTTTGTTTTACCTTTATTTTTGTGATACTAAGTCAGTGTGGAGTTGCTGGCTTGAAAACCAGTTAAAACTGTATGATGATCAACAAGGGACTTAATACTGATCATGTATGATGTCACCTTTTTTAGTGTCTGATGCAGGTTGTCATAGGTTTGAATTTGGTCACACTGACCATCTGATAGAACTGTTAACAATGTTTCTGCTTTTCAGACTCTGAAGAGGAGATGGATACCACTCCTGCTCAACCAGCCACCAAGGCAAAGAAAGCAGGCATGGTTAAGGCCAAGGAGGAGTCAGAGGATGATGAAGATGACGACGATGATGATGACGATGATGAAGATGACGAGGAAGAAGAGGGTGAGTCTTATGGGAAAATTGAATGTGGGCCAACTGCCAAAACTTCTATGCTAAATCAAGCTAACAATTACATAGACATGTCGTCTAAAAGATTGACAATCATTTTTTAAAGGCATATTTAAGATTGTTACATGTCACCTTTTTACTTAAAAAATGCGAGTTGATAAATGAAAATCTGAAATTCATTTGAAACATGGTTGAGATGGAGATGGTGCTATATTAAGAGATCAAAGAAGAAAAATGAAAACAGCTTTGTAGGTTAAAGAAATTTAACGTGTTTCTGCTTCTTCCACCTCAATCTAACCAGTGCACATATTTTTAGACACTTAACATCAACAATACATGAAGCATAGTTATGGTAAAGCCTTCAAGCCCAAAGTTTTAACACCATTTGCCTGTTTCATTCTTTTTCTGTATTTGCTGGACAGCTGTAAATTAAATAATGCATCACTCGTATCTCAATAGAAGCCCCTGTGACCCCTGGAAAGAGGAAGGCAGAGAGCAAGAAGGACACACCTCCTGCCAAAAAGGCAAAGTCAGAAGGTGAAGGTAAGAATAAATGCCCTGACCTGTTAATAAAATTTCAATATTTATTATGATGATCAACAAGGGACTTAATACTGATGTGTGATGTCACCTTATTATTCTGAATCTGACACAATTGATGCAATTAATAGAATTTTACACAAAGAATAAAACTCAGTGGAACTTTGCTCTCCCATTTTCCAGGGTTCTGTCTGTTTGTTGGAAACTTGAACTCCAACAAAGACTTTGACGAAATCAAATCATCGCTGAGGAAATTCTTCTCCAAGAACAGTCTTGAGGTTGCTGATGTCCGGTTAGGAGGATCCAAGTAAGCAACCATTAAATATTAAATACTTATTTTTATAATTATTATTATTATTATTAGTACTTACTTTTTTGATTACATACAGTTGGTTAGTACAGGTTGGGTATGGACAGAAATGGCATTGTAAAACTGTTCAATTTTGTAACTTTAAATAAACACATTGGCTGGTACATTCTGACAATTTCCTTTCAATTCATAGTGAAGACAAAATTAATCCCACTAAAAAGTGAAATAGATGGGCAGATGCAGCCCAAGTCATTGCTATATGAAACTACAAGTTCTTGGACTTTTGTTTCTTTTTTTAAAACAAGAATGTCTAATTGTTCTTCCATGGCTTGCCTCAACAGGAAATTTGGCTATGTGGACTTCTCAACTGAGGAGGATATGCAAAAGGCACTGGAGCTTAATGGCAAAAAGTTCATGGGTCAGGAGTTGAAGTTGGACAGGGCCCGCAGCAAAGACAGTTCACAGGAGGGGAAGAAAGGTAAATGACTCGTGTTCCTCTGCACATCTGGTGAAGTGTTTATTAAAAAAAAAAAAAAAAAAACTGGATTATTTCCAGGCAGTTGGCTTTGGCAATTAATACATTTCCTAGAAGAGTGAAAAGAAGTTAGTTCCATTACATATGCTGACATTGATACGTCTTCCAGAAAGGGACGCAAGGACACTGTTTGTAAAAAACCTTCCCTTCTCTGCGACGGCTGATGACCTGAGGGAAGTCTTTGAAGACGCGGTTGATGTCAGGTTACCTCCAGGCCAGAACGGTTCAAACAGAGGGTAAGAACAAGCCTGCATGTAACACAAGAAAACTACATGAGTCCTAAAAGGGTAGATGAGAATCCTACAGTGTAAGAGCCTGACTTGCCTTGAGATTGTAGTTGTAGGAAATCGGTTGTCCCCATCATCTTCACATCTTTATAAACTAACATTTTATAGAATACAATTGAATCTAGTTTTTGTGTCTTAGTACTCAAACTTACCATCCATTTACAACTGAGCTGAATTTCAGCTAACAATACTAATCATCCCTTCTCCATTGACAGCATTGCCTACATCGAGTTTAAAACTGAGGCTGAAGCAGAGAAGATGCTGGAGGAGGCTCAGGGAGCTGATGTACAGGGGAGGTCCATCATGATTGACTACGTTGGAGAAAAGAGTCAGAAAGGGGCGAAAGTAGGAGGTAAACTCTTCAGACATCATGTAAAACCATGAAAGCTACTTTGGTATTAAAAATGAGACTTAATAAAAGGTTGTGGTATAATTCATTACTTGTTTCATTATAGGAGTAGAATGTGTTATAGCAATAGAATCATAATGTTTTAACAGTAAGATGCTGTGTATTTCACAATTGGGTATTGGAGAAGTGTGGGCCACTTCAGGATAGTATAAAATAGCTCCTATAGGTACAAGTTAGCCCTGAATGCTAACCTACTGCATTGCATTCAAATGTTTTGTATTTTCACCTTGATCACTGACACCACCGTGCATTATGTATTAAAAGGTCTTCAGTTTTCCTCAAACCAAATTTTAAGTTATTATAATTACTATGTTGATTACAAAGCTCTGGACATGTATTCATGTTCCATTGAGCCTCAGAATGAATATTTCAAGAACCTGCATTTGAATATGGCCAGACTTGCTGGTGCTGTTTTGTTTTGTTTTGTTTTTTTGTTTTTTTTGTTTGTTTGTTTGTTTTTGGGTAAAGATCTTCAGGAGAATCCAGTATTGATCTGGTTCAAGTGTCATATGAAAGAAAAAAGAAAATGCTCCATCTTATTTGTCTCACTAGTCCCCTTCCTCCTTCTCTCCCTATAGGGGCAGGAGCAGCCAGTAAAACACTGGTAGTGAATAATCTTGCCTTCAGTGCCACAGAGGAAGTCTTACAGTCCACATTCGAGAAGGCTGTGTCCATAAGGATTCCACAGAAAGATGGTAGAGTCAAAGGGTAAGTGTCTGTATTGACTGGTAAAACGGTCTGTTATATTGGATTTGATTTTCATCCTTGGCATTAAATCTCAAACTGCTAGACCTTCTCATGAGCTCCTCTTAATCTTACCCATGATTCTGCATGGATTCGCACGAGAAGCAGAGCCAAAGCACAGTTAGAACAGGCTTGCCCTGGTCTCATATGGGTGTTGCTTATGTCTGGTGTGCAACAGATAGAAAAGTCTAATTGAGGAATTGTTTCACAGTAAAATTGGATTACAAACAAACATTGGAATGTTTTTGTTTTCTTCTTTTCCTAATGTGTTGCTTCTTTCCATAGTTTTGCTTTTGTAGAGTTTGAGAGCACAGATGATGCTAAAGAAGCTTTGGAAAATCTTAACAACACAGAAATTGAAGGCCGGTCGATTCGACTGGAGTACAGCCAGAACAGCGGTGGCAGAGACGGGGGAAGAGGAAACTCAGGTAGCTCTTCAAAGTGAAAATTGTGGTCTGTTTGGTTTTTGACCCCAGTTGACTTGGCCAGATATGATGACAACTTGACCTCCTGAAATTCTGTGACGATTCAAAGATAGTCAAGTCCTGATCTGGTCTGGTCATGAGATATAAGCTGGTTGTAGCATTTTTATTTTTCAAAATAATGTGTTGAATAAAATCAAATTGAACCCTAAACGATTTAATGATGGCTTCTCTTTGCCCAGGTCCAACAAAAACCCTCTTCGTCAAGGGACTCTCTGAGGACACGACAGATCAGACCCTTAAAGATTCGTTTGATGGCGCCGTAGCAGCCAGGATAGTCACAGACAGAGACACAGGCTCATCTAAAGGGTAAGTTTGGAGAATTGTAAATACACCGTCTGACTGTTCACGCTTCTCGTGAGCGCCGCTCTGTCCACTAGTGACAGTGTACGGATTCGCATGAGAAGCAGAGCAAACTCGCAGTTAAACAGGCAGCTACCTTAGTGGGAGTTGCCCATGTCTGATGTGAAACAAAAGCAATACAATGACTGATTGGAATTTAAAGTATTGTGAAAGGCAGTCATACTTTCTTAGGTTAAGCGTTAAATCAGCTTTTCAATTTGATCTGATTGTTTAAACTAATTACTTTTTAATGTTAGGGTTATAATTATAATAGGAATTCCCCTTTTTGGTGACTCCAAACCACTCATTAGTTTCCATGTTACTTTTGACGAAACTTAAGTAAGCCTTTCTGTCTTGCCTTGCAGCTTTGGCTTTGTGGACTTTGACAATGAAGATGACTGCAAGGCAGCCAAGGAGGCAATGGAGGACGGTGAGATCGATGGGAGCAAGGTGACCCTGGACTATGCCAAACCCAAGGGTGAAGGAGGTTTCCGCGGAGGCCGAGGTGGTGGTGGATTCGGTGGCGGATTTGGTGGCCGCGGTGGGGGCAGAGGAGGTCGCGGCGGATTTGGTGGTTTTGGAGGCCGCGGCGGCGGTGGTAGAGGAAGGGGAGGCCCTCGTGGAGGTGGACGCGGAGGCGGACGTGGCGGCTTCGGAGGTAAAGGAAATTATTGGATTTGAGGTGGAAAGCAAAGAAGTTAGCAATTTTTGTCCACAAAGCAGTGGATAGAATGTGATCAGATACTAGGTTAGATCTGTAAGCAATAAAATGTTTTCTGAAAATATTTTTTAAAACGGATAATCAGAACACCTGCCCAGGCAAAATATAAGAAACTAGTGATAACTAACTCTACTGTATGCAAAATGCCCTTCAGAGTTGAAGCAGAATATTCTTTATATTTTTAGCATGTTTGGTGCTGCTGGCTGTTAATCAGTTGCCTTTGTTTTCATTTTAGGTGGAAGAGGTGGCGGTGGATTTGGAGCCAAACCCCAGGGCAAGAAAATCAAGTTTGATGACTAAATCCTTAGTCTATTTTACTTTTTGAATGGACTCTGGTTTCATCAATTTTCAGAGCTTTTGGACATTCCAGAAAGCGTCATTGATATATATTTAACTGTTAATGGGCATTTTAGCCCTTTATTTAGATCCCTCAACCTTCCCCACCCTTGTGTGCCAGAATGGTACTTCTGACCTTCTCAGCTCAAGTACTACGTGCAAGTACTGAATGTCCCGAATGCAAACCTGCACCTCTTGCCCTCATTAGCTTACTTGCTTTTCCGAAGGAGTGAAATGGAATGGGTCTGGCAAACAAGTTTGCTGTGAAAAATATGCGCGTCTTTGTCAGATACATTGTGTAAATTTAAACAGTTTGTATGATTTCATTTTACCTTTTTGTAAAAAAAAAAAAAAAATACACTTGTATCAATATGTTTTTGTTTTTATTTTGTTTGTCATTTAGTTTGCTTTAGGTGCCAAGTTTTACTGTAATGTGCAAAGCATATTTTGATAGGTTTGAGAGTTGGGTGTTAAGAGAAAGGCAAAGATGTTTTCATGTTTGTTTTGGTGGGGCACCAGTCAGTGCCTGAGTCAGAGGATGAATGACCTTATCTATGTAACATAAAATATTTGTAGTGCATTGACTAATTTTTCCCATCTGAGAATCTCAAGATTTTCATGTGATTGAATAAAACCTTGTAGGTGGTGATTTTTAAATGTCTGTCCTCATTGCACTCATCAGTCCCACAGGTTTGAATATAGTTTCAGTCAATGTTGAACACAGTTGTCAAGTATGGTACATTTACTGAGTTGCTACTTTATATCTCACTTACTTTAAATCTTATTGCATCTAATACAACACACCATCCTTGCAATAAATCCTGCCTTTTTGAAGCTTGTCAAAATATGTTGTCAGTTGTTGAGTCAGCTCTAGTAATTATGATGCAATTGTAATGCATCATGTTAAGTGACAAATGGGAATGGACAGATCATGAAAAAAAATGCTGTTTATCATTTATTTTAAACCTGTCTGCTCTGGAATGGATAGGAAATTGTTGGTTTACAAGCATCGGTGACAACTGAACTGCCCGAGTTTTGTTGCGTTTTTAAATTGCTGCATCACTTGCAGACAGGTGACAAAGGGAAAACAAACATTAGTAAGGTGCTGGGTCATCATGTGCTGTCAGAACAGCTTCAATGCATCCTAGCATTGATTCCACAGCTGGAAGGACAGAACATCTTCCAAAAGATATTCTGACTTCATGTTTTGATAATGGTGGATGAACACATTGGTCCAAAATCTCAGGTGTTCAGTTGGGTTGAGATCTCGTGACTGAAAGCCATAGCATATAATCCACACCATTTTCCCACTCAAGCCATTCAGTGACCCCTCCAGCGCCCAGTATTTGCTGTGTTTTTCTATTTATTCAGATTTTTCCTTTCATTTGTCCACATTAGTAAATAGCTAAATTATTAAACTGAAAACAGCTGATGGATGGCAAACGTTTTCCACCAGGTGGCAGTCTCCATCAGGTAGCCTTTTTGTCTGACACAGACAATGGCCACAATGGGAAACTGCAGTAGCTGCATGTAAATGATGCTGAATTAGGCACTGTCATTAGAAAAACAGGGTGCCCTGAGTCTGGAGAGTATTGCATAACATTCTACCAATACATAGCAAAACTATCTCCAAAAGCTGACTCAGGCCATTGACACAAGTAAGGTCTTGAAAGTTTGACATCAGAAATGCATTTTTGTTAGTGGAACTTTTCAAAACTCACAGCTAGCAGGGAGGCTATGGGCGCAGGCAACGGTCTAATAAAATGTTCTCATAAAGTTGTGCCCCTAAAATCTCAGCAAGCATACAAGGGCTCTGTCACAGACCTTTTGAGCCTTTCAGTCACATATTGTAAATCCTGGTGGTGAGTAGCTCATGAAGTGAAGCGGGTTACATTTTAGACATTGTGGATTTGAACCTCTTAATAAATGTAAATTTAGAGCCTTAAGAAAATCAGCTACATAATTTTTGCTACTGTATTTAATACATGCAGTGTTCCCAGTGTGTCAGTGATGCCCCCCAGACTTGAAAATGCATAGCTGATGAAGGACTATGAAACTGCAGTAGGTAGGCCATACATCATGTTAAAACTGATTACGGCTTTGCTACTGGCCAACAACCCTATCAGCACCTCAAAAATCAGATTCAGAATCATCGTAATAGTAGAAGTAATCTCAGGCTTTCTGATGTTCTGATGTCTCACTGGGAAGAGGACTGACCCTGAGCTGCTGGGTAGGTGTCTCTTGTCAGTGACACTACCTGACAGGGGACAGCAGTATGCTGTCATCCCATTGCCCCGCTAGCTGAACAGGGACCTTTGTTCCTGAAGGTGCCTGGGCGGGAGGCACTGATGATGGCACCACTGAATACCTCTATTTAGAGATTTGTTGCCCCCCGCCTTGAGCGGTGACAGGGGTCATGCTAGCTTTTCTCTGTGGCGTTATGTCAGCCATCTAGAATGACCTTTGTGCTTTCTTCTCTATCTCTCCATTCATCTCGGAGTGCTGTTTTCTCTTCAGCTTCATTTCATATTGCTGTATCATTTCTTTTGCTTTCATGCTGTTTTTTTTTTAATGTTTCTTATTAAACATAGTAATCCACAGGGGCATGCAGTAGCGCTTTCAACTGGATGATCCAATCCACATGCAACCAGTAATAAATAACAGGACTTGCAGGCAGCTGCCTTGTAATTCACACTAATTATATGAGGAAGAAGCTCACTGAAAAAAAAAAAAAAATGTTTTGCCATAGTATAGGAAGGTGAGTGCTAACATTTTACTCTAGAGTTTTCAATTCTTTAGAGTCAATAGGGCATTGTAAAGAGGAGAGGACAGAGATTGATACTTTATCTCTTTTGTTTAGTGGCTGGTCTTTAAATGGGAGTATACTGCTCAGAATACTCTTCACAATGGATCTTTGTCAAGTACATGGTGTTCTATAGCAGAAGTCACATTGCCTTGGCCTGTTTTCCATTGTGCTATGTGGAGTCATGATAATTTATTTTATTTACACTTCCTGGATATACATGATCAATTCTGGAGAACATGCGTAATCATTACCTGACCTCACCCATTAAGCGGAAATTCAACGGAATTATTGGAGACTTAGATAAAAAGATAGATAAGAAGGTAACTAATTAACATCTTGTTTTTTCTTTTGTTTTTAAAACTGTGCCCAGCCAAGAAATAGGCACACAACTCCGTTTAACCACAATGTGTTGTTTTTATGTAAAGGAAGTGCCAGCACTTGGTTAGCGTAGCCTAGCACAAAGAATCGATCGATCTAACTCTTGGCAAGAAAGTGCATGTCCCTTTAACTGCAGCAAGCTGGTAATATTAAGTGTGTTTGGGACACAACCTTATTCTTCATTTTTAACGCATGATCTCAGTTTCTGCTCATCCCCCCCATTTATCATTCACATTCTCTTTAGTCATGTTTATGGTGCTTTTTTTGGTTCCTCCATTTCTTTTTTTCAAAATGATTTATAGGGTAGGATGTAAGTGCTTTTGCATGGTTGTGTACATTTTTCAGGACAAAAGTCGACTTGATACTTGCTTGAAGTCTTGCGTAATCCATCCATTAAACTATACTATTTTTATTGTATATAAAATCACATTCAGTTATCGGGAACACTATGTTTTGTAAAGTGGTCTACAGTAACATACTCTTCAGTACGCATGATTTATAATAATTGGCACTGCATGCTGTGTGTGAGATGCTCTGTGATGCTTGAGCTGATAGCTGTAGCTGTACTCAGCAACCTTTAGGTTGAGGAATGTTCTTTTTAATTTAAGCCCAAGCAACAATATTCCCATCTTTAGCCATGCCAAAGATGGTGCTCCAGAGTCGTTTGAAGAAAGTCGAGGGTTAGTGTGAAAGCTTGCGGCCCCTTCCAGCTGACCAACTGACCACGCTGACATCAAAAGCTTCCTCCAATTAGTGTCAACAAATATGCTGCTCGCGGTCTACAGGCAGGTTGGAAAGCTGGGTGTGTGTACTCACATACAGTCAAATATCATCACTGAAGTGGGACATTTACACTAGATGATGGTAAATTTTGGCTGGTGGTTGATAAGTCACTTCTCTCAGCCACAAAGGCTGAGAGAAGTCTCAGTCTTAGTCTCTTCGTCAAATTGGGAATGATTGTTTAAAGATCATGTGTTACATAAAGGTAGAGCATAAATTAAGTCTCCTAACATTCAGTGTAGTCTTTAATGATGTCTTTTGTCTGTGGGTTGGACAGACAAAAGGAAGTGGATGAGACATTCATTGGGTAACCATTCTTAGTTTCCCACAGACACATACAGTAAACACTTGAGCAATGACCATTTACACTATGACATCCTACCATAAAACTTCTGACATCCTATTGTACCTTTGTTTATAACCTTTATTTGTTCAGGGTAGATACACAGGCACACGCTGACTCATTGCTCTGACTTTCATCATTTCCTGGAGACTTACTCTAACCTTAACCTAAACCTAATCTTAACCAACCTTGTTAGGTTTTTAGGAATTTTGAGGAGAAAGTGAAAGTGGTGGCCTGACAAGTTACAGTTCCTGCAGCCTTGCTGCTAATGCTGCTTTTTTGAGAGCTGCCAAGTAATGTATTCCAAAACTGCCAAAGTACGGGTTTGAGAGATTGTTCTTAAACCATGGATAATAAAACTACTGCTTGTCAGTGTTATCTATGTGAACCACAATTCATGGACATTTGTTAGAAAGAATTTATACATAAAAGCGAAATACAAATCTTATTTGAGCTGTGACTAAACACTGTTTGGACAGCGTTGGTGTTATATGCAATGGTTGTACTTCCTTACCACTTCCTCTCCTATCAGCTTGATGCTGGCAGCACTGCACTCACTGTTTACTGACATTGGTATTACACAATATCTGGTAAGGATGTCCAAATTAATTCTCACACAGTAACATCCTTGTGTGGCTTGTGCTTCTTTGAACATGGAGCTGTAGGAGAAGATTTCACTTCGACTGATAACCGACTTGTCAACCCCAATTCACACCCCCATGTTGCCAGTATCTGCACGCCCACGTCTTGAAACACAGACGATTGAGGAAATTAGAACCTGTTTAAAGCTTACACACTTTCTTACTTTTGCTGTGTTCAATTGTTTGTTTTTGTTTAACAGTCTCAAATGGTAGGTATATTCTCTGTTGGGGTCAGATTGCATAAACCACGCTGATCAGAATAATAGAGATCATTCATCTTATTTTCACTAGGTTTGACTCCACATCACTGTACATTGAGTTTAACAAAGAGAGCAGTTGAAAGAGATAAACCTGCTTAAGCTATGCATCTGTATCTGGCGAGTGCACCCCTCATGAAACACAATACAGAGAAGATCCCCTTTCTATAATGCTTTCTTGTCTTTTTCCTGTAAGAGATTGTGAAGAACAACAGGAAGGCGTTTGTTTTGTTTTGCGATGTCTTCTTCGTCTTTTTGGGCCAACTTAAATCTCTAAACAATATCTTACACTGTTAGCTGACAATATCAGTCTCAGCAGTTGCGTGCAGTGAGCAGTCACACAATATTTGACTGGAACACTTAACATAAACAGCATGAAATTTCACACCAAGTCAGAAGCATGTACAGCTGCTTTCTGAAAACAAATACAAAATGTTGGGTTGAAAAAATATTTCCCAAACAAATAACCAAACATTACAGGGGAAAGTTGTCATATTTCTTTTTAGATTCTTTCTCAGGTTTGACTCTTGAACCATAAATTTCACTGTGAGCACGATAATGCAGAAGTCTTCAAAGTGATTTACACAAGTAAAAGTTCTCTGACATTTTGTCACAGTTGCAGAGAAAGCAGAACACACTCTTTGGTTAAGCTGCTGAACACTCATCAAGCAAACACTTCATATATTATTTTGATTAAACCATTATTACTTTCATGGTTGTTTGAACATGCATGTTCTCTTCACTGTTCAGTTGTGTAAGTGATACCCATATGTCAACACTGGACACTATTGTTGTGTGACCTGATATGGATTTTCACATAGATGTTTGATGCTGATAAGGCCAAACACAATAACAGCCAATCTAGGACAGATTTTCAAAGACGACTGCATTGTCAAGATGTTTATTTACAAATGACATCCTATGTACATTTTGATTTTTTTTACACATATTTACATCACCGAGACATAATCATCACCCTGCTACACCCGCAATGTTCAGCTTTATAATCATCGAACATCCCATTAATATGCTCATCTGTTGCTTTAAATTAAACACAAGAACCCCACATTTGCCCCCCTTTTATTGGGGAGGCGATTAAATTAACATGACATATGCTCGTACCAGCATTTGTTTTAGTTCACAGTGTCGTTGTAAAACCTCTACCAAATTCATGTCAAGTATATCAGCACATTCAAATCCATGGACAGCATACATGTAAAAAGTTTGCACAATTTTTTCTTTTTTTCTTTTTTTTTTTTAAGGTTTCCAGTAGTATAGGAGCAGTAGAAGTCCAGATCAAGTCAGTCACATTACAAACAAACGAGTGCAAGGACCTCTATGATACAAAAATTATTCAAATCTTTCCTTAAGAATGTGTACTGTGTACGCAGATAATGGTATCAAGGTTACATTTAAATAGAAATTGTGACCAATGATGAAATGAAGAGTTTTCTGACCAAATCATTGAGGTAGAGAGAGTTGTTTCTTTCTCTTACTTGAAGCCATTTGTAGCCAGTGCAGCATGCCATACTGGTCCAAGTGAAGGCAATACATAACACTTAATACATACCCAAAATGCTAGCATGACAGCAGCATGTGCAATGGCTTTCGAACACTAACGCTAACTGCGTACAAACTAAACCAACCATTATTTCCCTCTGACCAATACGAAAGCACAATATGCTACTGCAATTAAAACATTTTTCATGGTTTTATTTACCAGTTGTCCCCCGCAAGAAAGTTTAAAAAAAGTGTATTCACATTAATGGTTTTACTATCATTGGTTATTTTTGGGGGAGCTCGCTGCCACAAGGCTCCTGGCCAAGAAAAACCTTCACCATTTCTAAGCAGAAAAAAGAGGAAGAATAGGTGTTGGCCACAGTGGAAGGGAAGAGCTGGGTGTTTGTATGAGTGCTGTAAAGTATTTAGCAAGACATTACAAGAGAATACAAAGCCTGTAACTGTAGAGCAAGTAAATGTCCTCCTTATTGTGCCCATTGATGCAGCAGCCTCTCCACATAAAGGAGATACATTGTACTGTACTTCCTACAGGTATCCACCAAGGTTTAGCTCAGCTCATTGGTGCTGTCCTTACCTGGTGCTTTCGTGAAGCTATAGGATCTCCACTTTCTGTGCGCAGACCAGGTCACTGTTAACCAGATTCCACATGTGCATGAGGTCCGACGGGAGCAGCTTGTGCACCACAATCATGCTCTTAAAGAAACACGGTTCTCGGTTTAACTTACTATTCTTATTTTTCACCAAGCCAAACGTCTTAAAGGCATTGTGTTTTACAGGTGTGACCTGAAGCACCTCCAGACACATGCCCAAGAAGACGTCATCGATGGGGTAAAGCTCCAGATTGTCTGCGACCCAGTGGAGCCTCCTTGCCAGAGTCCCATCCATCAGAAAACCCCCTCCACCTGCATATGGAGGGTACAGAGTCTTATTATACAGAGCTTGGGGTATGTAGTATTTGTTTTCTTTTCTACGAATGGGCTTAGCCTTGAAAATCACATCCCCCACAAACAGGTTCTTTTCATGGTTGCTGCTGTCCAGGAATTCAAAGATGTTCTCCACGCTGACAAATACATCATCATCCCCCTTAAACACGTAGCGCACGCTGGGACAGTAAGTGTGGAACCACTTGAGGAAGTGAGTCTCTTTAAGTGTGAGGTTGAAGAAGCTATCCAAGAAATCCCACTGGAGAATATCCCCATAGATGTAGTCCTCATACTCCACAAGCTTCTGATGGTTCGCTCTCTCTGCCTGATTGGAGGGTTTCCCAAGGAGGAAGAGGGTCTTTATCCTCTTGCCATCCACCACCTGCTCTTTGCCCCAAGTTTTTCGAATGACCTCCCTGCGGTCATGCTGGGTGGCCACTGATTTGACTACCATGAGCAAATATATCTCCCCTGTGCAACTCTTCGGGTGGTTGAGAAGCATGGGGAAGTAGCGACAGTGTCGATAAAGCATGAACTGCTTGAAATTGTCCTCCAGGCTCTGGAACCAGTCCTGGCTTGTGAGGTTGAGGTTGGCGCTGCAGTTGGAGCTGGTTACATCCCAGGTTCTAGGGCTGCTGTTGTCAGTGCTTCTGGGCTCCTGTGTGGTGGCATGAGCTTTAGGCTGTGGCTGGTGTTTACTAGCTTTCCAAAAGGCTTTTTTCCCCAGGTTCATGCCAGTTTTCTCTTCCAGTGCAGCTCCAGGCTCCACTCCCTCAGAGGTATCCATGCGGGCCTGCCTCTGGAGTTCAAAGGGAGCCCCCATATTGATGGTCCCTCTCTGGACAACAGTCAGCGCCACCGCGGCCAGGAAAAACATGACACTCACCTTCTTGTACACCCTCCAGCGATCTCTGTTGTTAATCCTGAGTGAAGACAAAGATCACAGATGCCAGTCAGACAGGGCAAAAATATCTAACCCAAACAAAAGCTAAATATTGAATTGTATTATTATCATGATGTGTTGTTTTTAGGGAGTTTAACATTCACACAAGTACACGAGTATCAAACAAGAAGTGAATTTAAAAAAAAATAAAACTTCAAAAATGACTCCCCTGGTCCAGAGCCTGAAACAAAAGCATGCGCTGGAATGGGAATGGGTCTCTTTGAGATTCTGATACTAGCTCTAGGGCGCCCATGGCCACCAGAGGGCCCACAAGAGTGCTTAAAATGTCCCATAAAAGAGCGTGAATTTTTTTTTTGTAATACATCATATAAACGGTAATCATACAAAATTGCAATGTTATGTTAATGGCGTGGCTAGCTAATACTACTGGGTTCAACAATTCCTGCTGCTTCTGACAGACCAAGACAGCCAGTTTAGGACCCCATATAGGCTACGGCCGGCCCTGTGCTAGCTTCCAATTCCAAATTCCAAAACCACAGCTAAAAAGCAGCGAACCTAAGCTGCTTAATGTTCCAGTGTCAACATAGTTCATATAGATAGAAAAAAATATTGATAAAAATCAAGAATAATCCATACCACAAAAAGAAAAAAAAACTGAGATTAAACTTCATGGCCATATCACCCAGCCCTACCTGAGGGGAAATGATTACAGTGTGCTCTCTGTTAGTAACTTTTGCATACACAGTGTACAATAAGTCATATAAAAACACAGACGACACTAAAATGTAAATTTTTCCTCCCTATGAGTTGTAGTGGTTTTACCACTACTTCTCCAAAACAAATCAGCCTACACACAGCTTTGAGATATGTAGTTCCCTTAGTTTTTTAACATAATCACAGTCAGATAAATTAGGCCTTGTCACGTTTTATTTAACCAGTGTCACTTCTGGAGGAAGATGTGGAATGTTCTTGCAAAATGAAGTAACCCCTGCACTTCAAATTCTCACATTTCCATCATGTCATGCCAGGGCTCGTTGCATTCATGACCCCACAGACACTCCCAGGGGGAGTGGGCCCCTCAACCTTTGAAGGAGAGGTTTTTTTTTTTTCTCTCTCCCCAATAACCATAAAACAAGGTAAATCCAAGTCAAGTCTGGGATCAGGTTAATCCAACACGCTGTTAAAAAATGGGTCAATTTAGTCATTAAATTAGAGACAGTTACACTGTATAGCCTATCTTGAAACAAAGGTAAAATTAAAAAAAAAAAAATTAAGACCTTCTCACTACTTAAATAGGGTACATGCTACACCACCACCTTCAAAGTTTGTCTGAATATACGAATTAGCCCAATGCACACCCACTCTTTTTTAAAATGTTTTTTTTAAAGAGGTTTAGCACAATTTGCACTTAATTGCGAGAATCATTTTCTTCGTGAGTGACTTAAATACAGTTAGAAGATGTTTCCTTATCTGCTACCTTTGCATGGACAGTCAAACAAACAGAAAAGGATGAAAACCGTCAGCCAGGGATCGTGTAAAAATAACACAGTAGCCTATAATGATTCAAATATTAAAGAGGGTGCCACTTACATTTTGTCTCTTATGCTTTCGACGATCTGTGATGGTTGCTCTGAGGAAATCAATGGCTCAAATAAAGTGCTGATTATCGAGAGCAGTGAAGTAGAATGGCTTGACGTTATGTCTCCTCGGCTTTTGGACAAAATGATAAAAAATATAATATTAATCCTAGTTGAGTTGCAAATAGTTGTTGCGAGAAACGAGCGGGGATCTTAAGAGTGTTTCTGCCTGATGATGCAGACGTGCGCTGCGTCATCTGCGCTGCTGCTACTGAGGACTGCTCTCACTCCCCCACTGAGATCCATGCACTTTTAAAAGCTCACACACCCCACACACACACACACACACACACACACACACACACACACACACACACACACACACACACACACACAAACACAGGACGCAAACGATGAATGAACAAGGAGGCAGGAGTCCGTCGTTTACACAAGCATAATACTTCAAACCCCAATGTGAACACTGGATTTCTTCTGTTTCTTCTACATTACTTACGTATGTGCGATAAAAAACAATGAAGTTTACTTTTGTTTTCATTGTAGGTTCTTATTGAACATCATGTGTTTGCCATCTACCATATTAAAATACCCAGAGTCCAAAGTCCCCACCCGCCTGTAAATTGTCCTTTGTTACATTCTAAAATATAAATTAGCTTACAGAATATATTCCGCAGCTTTAGCTACATGAGTGCCTGAATGCTGTTTCAAAGCTTTAAAGCCAGGAATATACAGGTAATTGCGATGAAGAAATATTGTGTAATTTATGATTTTGAACTGAAACACAAACAAGTCTAACACTGAAAAAATCTGAACCCAGGCAAAAAAACTCGGCATTTGTAATTTTTGTGTATTTGTAGAATGCAAACTCCTCCCCTTCACATTTGTTTCTCACTTGTATAAAACAGGTGAAATAAAATACACACACACACACACACACACACACACACACACACACACACACACACACACACACACACACACACACATAAAGTACATGTCTTGCATTCAGGTTTTTACTTAAAGTCCAAAATGTACTTAAAGTATCAAAAGAAAAAAGTACTTGTGGACCAAATGGACCATTTCGGTTACATTATTATGTATACTATATTTCGGGGTTGGTGACATGAATGTGTAAGCATCAGTCGTTTACTGTTGTATTGAGGAGGAGCTAATTTTAATAACTTTATTTTCTCCTGGGTACTTGAGTCCATAAGGATATTCCATATATTATAACATGATAACATTCACGTGTAAAATCTCCTGTGAAGTAATCAATAATTAAATCCACAGATAAGGTTAGTGGAGTAAATGGCACAGCAATTTCCCATGAAACGCAGAAGAGTTCAAAGTACTTAATAAGCCTTAAGTGCATATATAGTTACGGTAGTCACTTTCTACCACTGTTATCATTTGACCTTGCTGTTCCAGAGATGTTCACGTGTGAAAACCGATCAACGAACATGAAACACATTTCCATACAGTGTGTCAGTCCTGAAGAAGTACTTTCTAAAACCATAAAAACTGCTTTGGTAATGTCCAATCTCCACTTTCACAACACAAAGACAATACAGCCACAGTACTTGGTCCTCGTAGCTGTGTACTACGCCGCAGACAGTTAATAACAGGCTACTTTGTTTGCTAAATAACAATACACTGTTGCTACTGTAACTCTGTATTGTTTCAGGCCACACAGTGTGTCACTGTGTTTCACTCTTAACCCCTGATTTATTATCCTAAACGACATTATTGAAATGAATCATTTTAATATTCAAAGTTATATTAAGGCTGAAAGGCTTATATTCACAAGGCTGTCCTATACAGCGACATCATAGATCATCGTTGCAAACAGCTTATTACGACCCACGGTTCAACAACTATAACTGTATGTTTATTGCTGTAACCATGACGACGAATGTCCTTTAACCTTGAGGAAATTATTATTTTAACCTAAACTTCAAGCTTTTCCTAAACCTTTTTTTGTGCCTAAACCTAACCAAACCGTCACTGTTCCATAAGCTTAACCGCATTTCTGATTGTGACTATGATGAAGAAGGTCCAGTACTCCTGCTGCCGTATATGGATGCCATTTCAGGAGTTGCTCCTATGGGGCATATCTGAGGGTAGGAATAAATGACATATATAGTGATATATACATGGTTATATGGTATATATGGTATATATTATATGGTATATGGTTCAGAATTAAGGTTAGTTGCTCGTTAACGCTCATCTTCTGCTCTATGTGTATTAGCTTTTTAGCCTCTTTTAGTTCTTTTTTTCCCACATTTGATGTATGGTTAAGTCTGACATGCTCTCCATACCCCTAACCCATTTCCAGCAAAATAACGAACCTACCATATGCAGCAGGTGCAACGATGTTCAAGACCAAAACAGGGCAAAAAGGAGAATGAATACTTGGTGACTGAGATTTATTAGGTGGTCCAAAATATGAATCCAAATGAGTGCTAATCTTACTTTATGTCTTTCAGGAGTGTAAGTATAGGCAATTGCTTGCAAACTAATTTGCCATAAAAACTTTAAAAGCAGGGATATGGTGACAACTACACATTTGTCAACTTGTTTCTGCCACACTCTCTATTAGCCACAATTTGATAATACAACTTTAAGTAAAGGTAAATATAGGAAGTGACCAAACACCTTAAATCAAAAGGTCTGTCATGAAGTGTTTTACAAATTAAAAGGATACAGTATGAATACTGATGCTATTGAAACACCTAACACAAAGGAAGAATTGCGTCTTGATTTGAGTGCGTCAGTTGTCAATATTTGCACAATGGAAACTTGGGAATGTGCAGTTAAGAGGTTTATATGAACCTTTGGCTTTTAATGTTGGCCTTCAGGCAACAACCTCAACAACTACTGCACCACAATGAATTGCAAAAGTATTAAAAATGTTATTCCGTCCATAAAGTGGACTTTCTTGTATGCATCTGACATCAGCAAGAGCTGAATGAGCTGTCACAGAACAAACAGGTTTTTATCACCTAGCCAGCCTTTCACAGCAGCTGTGTAACTAAGGATTTCATGTATTTGACAGCCTATAAAAGTGACATACTGTATGTCACTTTTGAAAGGAGCGGTCAAGTAAGGTGAACGCATTCTTACAAGACGACTCACAGTTACTGGAAATCAATAGAAAGCCAGAGTTATGTTTTCTCTCATGTGATACGGTCTGAGGAAGCAAAGATACCGTATTGTGGGGCCATATCACCAACAGAGGAGTTATGGGAAGGTCTCTTAGCCTAAAAACAAAATAAGGACTGGTGATGGCCGAAATGCTGATTGCACAGCTGTCACCACCACAACTGCACTTAACCCTTGCTGTGGCAAACTATGTTCTTCTGCCTCTTTATGGTCTGGGAGAAGAACAACAAAATGTCTCTCTGTGCTTCAAAACAGGAATTTTTCAGTTTGAACACAGCTGCGATCCAAAATCTCTCCTTCCTATTCTTCTCTCTCCATTTCCTGCATCCAACCAGCCATCCTTCTCAGGGCCATGTGCATCCTGTTGCCTGCTGGCTGTGTTTTTTCCCGTTTTGATTTTTTTTTTTTTTTTTTTCCTTTCTTGGGTTTCATGCTCTGCAGGGGGTTCTTTTTCTTCCTCTCTGTGGATTCATGCTCTGCAAGTGCTGCGGAGAAGTGAAGTGGTGATGGACACCACTCGTCCTCAGTTTTACCTTTGCTGAAAAAGGCAACATTTGTCACTGATATCTAACAGAGGCAACAGCCAGTAAGGAAAACTGAGCTCTGTGACTCATTGTAGTGTGATTTGCGTCAGGATATGACCTTTGTTACTGCAATTTTGTTGATTTTAATGGGGTCACTCTTAGTGATGTACCAACTAAGGGTGTTTTAGTCCTTTTGAAATGAACCAAACTCAGTCCTCTTACAGTGGACCAAAAAGTGGACCGACAGGAAAGGAATCAGTTCTTTTTGCGTTCACATGTGTGAAAGAGGACTCCAGTTTTATGGTCACTTCAGCTCTGATGGAGCCTCAGTCCTCTGTCTGTCCACAACTATAGTTCCTCTGGAACTCTGGTTGTTTCATGTGTTTCAACCCTGCAGAAGTAGTCAGTAGTGGCATCAGCCATTTTCTATGGTGTGGTCTGCGGGGGCAGCAGCATCTCCACTGCTGACAGGAAAAGACTGAACAGACTGATCAAGAAGGCCAGCTCTGTTCTGGGATTCCCCTCGACCCATTGGAGGTGAAATGGGCAACAGGAAGATCATGGCTAATGTTATCATCCCTGTTGGAGAGCGTCTCCCACCCGCACTGAGCAACTCCTCCAGTGACAGACTGCTGCACCAGTGGTGTGTGAGTGAGAGAAACCACACGTCTTTCCTTCCTGCTGCTGTCAGACTATATAACAACAATGCACACCAAGAACACCAAAAACACTTACAATACACCATGTGCAATAATAATTCACACACATAACTGTGGAATTTCCCTTTTCTGCTGCCTATTTTTTAATATATTTTTATACTATGTATATGTTTTTTCTATTGAAATTTTGCAGTTTTCGTCCTTTGTACTTTCCACTTTGCTGCTACTGTGTGACTAATAAAGGAATATTTTATTCTTATCTTATCTTATCTCTCCTCGGACCAAACTATTCCTTCCACCAGTCTTGCTATCGTTACCAGCGGCCATGGGTCCATCCATGTTTTTTTCGGGCATCTCTGTGCAACTGCTGAAACCTTAACTTAAAGCCCCCCTCCACTCAAGAATGTGTTTTGGTCAATATTGCTTCCTTAAATGTTTTGACCTTCACTGTACAGAATGATGCATGTTTGACCACTTAGAAGGCTGTTTTCAAATGAATCTGTTGAAAGTGAAAAATTTCTCTTCGCTTATCTAAAAACCAAATAACTGGAAATATGAGTTAGAGGGTATGATTAAGGTCCAAAGATAAGACCAGATATTAATAAGGTTAATGATTACAGAGGTATTTGGATAAAGGACCACCTGTATGCTGGGAAATGGTGGTAGAGTTGTGAAATCTCAACATGTGAAATGATACAATATGACTCACCCTTGTCATACTTAGCTCTCCTTCATTACTCCAATAGTGTAACTTTACACCTTTTCACCTTATTGCTTATGCAACAATGTGGGAGTCAAGGTGGGATGGGGGCTGGAGGGTTGGAGGGCGGTAAGAAAAAACACAGTTAATAAGAAATGGAAAACTTTGCTGCTACTTTTGACATAGAGGAAGTATGTGCTAATCCTT